TAGAAAGCTTTAAAGACATGAAAGGAAAGCGAGTGGTGAGGATGGTTTGGACATGCGGCCATGGGTAACACACCCTGGACAAGCATGCCCACAACACCTGGCGCCTCCCATGAGAATGTTTCCGACTTTTTGCTTCTTTTGATTAATTTGCACTCCCAAATGGTCCTAAAATGTCATAAATACAATATAAGCCAACCACAAACCATCATATATGAATTTTGCATGAATTGGAACTCAAACGACCGAGAAAAAGTCCGAAACAAAGTTAAAACATAGTAAAAACAGCATCTAAAACCTTCTTTTTACGCATGTAAACAAGCGTAATCACCCCTCTACCTTATTTGTTTCAGGTGTGAACAAGGCCGACCGTGGTGATGACGTGGAGGAGGTTTGACTGAGGAGGGATCACTAGCTGTGTTGGTTATGATAGTGGATAATGTCGTGCATTGCAGACAGCGTTAAAATCTTATTGTTATGAATAAAAAGGGAACTAGACATTGGGTTAACTCACGGGACACTTTCTTTTTCTATTCCCGCAGCTTAGGTGGATTATTGTTTTGCGGATATTTTTACTATTCGAATTACTGGTGTATTTTGGATTACTAGATAAAACGATTATTTTCTTTGATTGGATTCCTAACCACTGAGGTGGGCATTATTTTCTTCTGGACATTTCATTATTGTGTACCTCCATTTTGTAGGTTGCATTATGAGGACATTACATTTTTCGTTACCTTAAATAGGGGGGGTTTAGGAAGCGTTATAGGACTGTTACCTCATTAAACGTATCAGAAATTCGGGTCTTTACAGTTGGTATCAGAGCCGACACGTTCCTGTAGACTGACCTAGTAACTAGGGTACTTAGGAGTAGTGATCCCGATCGGCCTCCTTTTCATCACCAGGTACGCCTCATGCTTGCTCTTGTGAACTTATATGTTCCCCATGAATTGCTTTTGCGTTTAATTCTTTTCTCATCAGTTAAAGTTGCAGCTCGGTTTCGTTAGGCCTAGGGCGTTCACTGAGTATACTAGCTAGAATGTAACTGACCTTGCACTTATGTGGGAGTTTCGACTGCCACATTCCTGTTGGTCTATTCGTAGAGTAACGTGCTAACGTCATGCTTGATTGTTGTGCTCTTTCATCCAGACAATGCCACCCCGTCGTAGTATGAGGCTGCGTGCAGACGTCGACCCAGCTCCCGTAGGTGAGAATGTGGCGGACCCACCACCCCCTCCTATTGGTGATCAGGCAGGGGTAGTTCCTCCATTTCCTCCAGCAGCAGCTCAGGAGCTGGTAAACCCTCCAATTCCCCCGACAGTTCCCTAGGTAAACCCACAGTTGGCGTTGCTTGTGGAGGCATTACAGGCACTGATCAATAACACAGCGGGGGTTGGCGGTGCACAAACTCAGCCACCCCGACACCTTCATACTCCCCAAAGCGAGGCTCAATTCATCAAGGATTTCAAGCGTTACGGACCCCCTACCTTTGGCGGGGGAAGTGAGAGAGCGACATTAGCAGAAGAGTGGGTCAGAGAGTTGGAAGCCCTTTACGCGTACCTAGGTTGCGAGGACCAATTCAAGGTTAAGGGTGCGGTTTTTATGTTGAGGAGCGAGGCTCTGAATTGGTGGGACTCAGTAGCAGCGACAGAAGATCATGCCAATGTACCAGTTCCGTGGGCAAGGTTCAAGAACTTGTTGTACGACCACTATTACCGGGAGACCGTGGAAGATATGAAAGAGGTAGAATTCCTCCATCTCGTCCAAGGAACCTTAACTGTAGCACAGTATGAAAGGAAGTTTACGGAGCTCTCTAGTTTTGCTCTGGAATTAATTCCCACTGAGGCAATGAAGATCAAGAGGTTTGTTAAGGGCTTGCACAAGGGAATAAGAGGATCAGTGGACCTTCAGCGACCCGTCACCTACGCTGAAGCAGTTAGGGGCACCTTAATTATGGATAAGGATGTCTCCAACAGGGTCCAACCTCTGGTGGAAGTCGGATCGTCTTTAGGTGTGAAAAGGAAGGTCCCTCCGACTTATGCCGACCAGCCATTTAGAGCACCCCAGCGCCCGGCTCAGCAGTAAGGCATGCCACCAGTGTGCCCCTCCTGCCAGAGAAGACATGCGGGGCAGTGTTGGATGGGAACGAAGGGTTGCTTCTGGTGCGGAAGAGAGGGGCATTTTGCAAGGGAATGTTCTATGTCGGCCGCGAATACTCAGAGGCTAGGCCAAAGGGCTCCCCCAACAGTTTCGACGCAGGGAGGTAATCAGAGGGCTTGTGTCTTCGCTCTTACTCGCAAAGAAGCGGCGGATGCCAAAACCGTTGTCACAGGTACTTCTTTCTCGCTTGGGATTTTCTTTTTGTTTTTATTTAGGGTATTGCATGCGGGGTTTATGTCTTTACCTTTGCATTATCTCTCAGGTACGGTCTTAGTCCATAATGTGCCTGCTTATGTATTGTTTTCCTCGGGATCGAGTCACACCTTCATCTCTACCGCGTTTGTTCGTCAGGCAACCCTCGAACTAGAGCCGTTAGGGTTTTTGTTGTCAGTTTCTACGCCTTCAGCGTCAGTTTTGATTGCTAGTCAAATGGTGAGAGCAGGTGAATTATCTTTTGACAATCAGACCCTAAAGGCAAGATTGATCCAACTGGACATGCGGGATTTTGACGTCATATTGGGCATGGATTGGCTAGCTACCAACCAAGCCAACATTAATTGCTCGAGGAGGGAAGTCTCTTTCCAATTACCTTCGGGTCGGAGCTTTACGTTTAAAGGAGTTACGGGTGGAGTTTCAGGGCCAGTCTCGGCGTTGAAGGCAAGGCGCCTTTTACAGAATGGTGTTTGAGGATATTTGACCAGTGTCGTCGACATTAGTGTGACTCCACCCAGTATCGACTCCGTCCACGTGGTCAAAGAGTTTCCAGATGTGTTCCCTGAAGACCTTCCGGGGCTACCCCCTGTCCGTGAACTGGACTTTTGCATCGACTTATTACCCGGGACAGCCCCTATCTCGAAGGCACCGTACTGCATGGCTCCAGCAGAACTTAAGGAGCTCAAGGCTTAGCTAGAAGAGCTCTTAGACAAGGGCTTCATTCGCCCGAGCATGTCTCCTTGGGGTGCTCCAGTGCTTTTTGTGAAGAAGAAGAAGGACGGATCTATGCAACTTTGCGTCGATTACCGAGAGTTGAACAAGGTGACAACGAAGAATTGGTACCCCCTTCCTCGCATCGATGACCTCTTTGACCAACTAAAAGGAGCGAGGGTGTTCTCGAAGATAGACCTACGATCGGGGTACCACCAGTTGAGAATTAAGGACGCCGACATACCAAGGACAACCTTCAGGACCAGGTATGGGCATTTTGAGTTTACTGTAATGTCTTTCGGACTCACTAATGCCCTACGGCATTCATGGATCTCATGAATCGAGTTTTTAAGGAATTTTTGGACCTGTTTGTGATCGTGTTTATCGACGACATTTTAATTTACTCCAAGACAGAAGAACAGCAGGAAGGATATCTGCGACAGGTCCTTACCGCCTTGAGGGGGAATAGCCTATATGCGAAGTTCTCGAAATGCGAGTTTTGGTTGGATAAGGTGGCCTTCCTTGGCCACATAGTCACCAGGGAAGGTATTGTCGTGGACCCGACCAAAGTAGAGGCGGTCAGTGGTTGGCCAAAGCCTCGCACAGTGACCGAAATCCGTAGTGTTTTCGGGCTAGCTGGCTATTACAGGAGGT